TAAATCCGCTCGGCGATGGCACTGGTGTGGATGAGTTGCTGTTGGTAAGAGATAAATACATATTTCGCTGCATACCTACTACATACTTATGTAGATATGTCTGATTGAATGTCCTGTTTGTCAATATGTTTGTGATTTAGTGGAATGTTTGTCTTGCTCAACAAAAAAAAAAAAAAAAAAAAAAATAATAATTATTTAAACAGACTTTTCTCTTATTTATTCAAAATTATGTATGTAAATACTATTTTATGCCAACGTATACTCCTATTATATACACGACCATATACAGCAATACAGTAGTGGTCAGATAAAAGTTACTTTATTAAATTTTGTTTATTAAAAATTTGGGTTTTCCGCATCGGTGAGGTGACATTCATTAACGGAAATTCAAACTTCTTGTTTCTGGCTACATTGATAGCATAAATTTGGAAACCCCATTAGATGCTCTGTTTGTTAGGCAAAAATACTAAGCAACACTTTCTGTCCACCAGTGTGACCAGATAAGCCTTTTTAAGGCTAGATTTAACAATTCTATTTTTTCTACCCTCGCAATTTTCGGTCCAGCTTCGGGACTTTTTTAAAGCTATCTTTTTTATAAGTAATTTTCACTTTTTAGTACTCTGACAAAAGTAAATCGATTTTATGTAAATATAAAAAAAAATTTGCTGTGAATTACCCACTTATCCTTATCACATTTTTTCATTCTGTGACTAATGAGACTAATCTTTGGAAATTCAAGCAGTCAAGATAAAAGATTAATTGAATTGCTATGGTAATACAGCAAAACATATGCAACCATGTTATTTCTGCCTAAGAACAAGTCTTCGAAATGAAGAGCTCTTATTAATCAATACTTTTAGCCAAGGCTTTTTAAGTAAGACCTTACAGTACATCTAAGGTATTTTTCCAAAGAATTGGATGTTAGTGAATGAAGAGCATGGAGCAATGCTAAACTGGTACTGCGTCTTCGTTAAATAATTATTTCGTGAAAATTTTCCCCATCTAACGAAAGCCGATTTAAAATGCCTATTTTTTAAATAAATTTATCTTAATTTTTTGTCATCATCTGGTCACTCTGCTTTCCACTAAATATTGAACAAGGCTTACAGTGTCCTATATATTTTTTTACCATTTTCAATACTTTTGTTTATGAATTAACACTTTTTGGAATATATAAAAAAATGCGTTGCTCATACTCCATCATCAGCAAATATCATTCTTTTGATATTTTGTACTAATTTGAAATAGTACATACATATGTATTTCTTTTATAGAAATTATCATTTATTGACTTACCTTTGTTGTTTGGTATTTAATTATTTATTGTTTTTGCTTATATTGTTGGTAAACTTAATATGGTCACTACTGTACCTACCTACATACACGCATACATATATACATATGCTTTTTCTAATTTATATTTCATCACACCTAATGATTTTCGAAGGCTATCTATGTGCATACATATTGCTCGTTTGCTAGAAGAACGTCATAACTGAATAATAAAAAATGCGAGGAAAATGGTTTTAGGAACGGCCTCAAGCTCATCAAAATTGTTGAATATAATTGTTATAAGGCCATAAAAATAACAAAAAAAAAAACAGGTAACGTTTTTAGTGAAATTTTTCCCTTGTCTTAAAGTAATATAATAAATATACTCATAGAATTTGGCTCCTTAATATGCCTTCATACTTTGGTATAAGAGTGTTTGTTCTTTTTTATATGTAAGTAGTTGCTCAGACAAATGGAGAAGAGTGAAATAGTAATGCCCGGTTTCCACTCAACATTAAATGAGAAACAATTTAATGAAAAATTTGAGAATTTGAGTCTCCACTAGTTTAAAAAATATCATGTAATTTTAATATAGTTATACGGATATTATCTAATGCCCAAATTCTTTATTTAATGCCCAGTGTATTTCCGATACACATACGCAACTTTGTTTTCACATGCCAATTGTTTAATGGTAGAAAATTTTTCGTAGTTTTTTGTAATTTCAATACCTCAATAGTAGTTTAAAAAAAAATTGTCTGAATTATGGCGTTCTTCCAAAGAACGAGCGATTCAAATTTAATTAGCTTCTGTCTTGAGAATAAATTGCTTCCATATGCTACACTCTACTCACAAAAAATTCATGCTTAACTGAAATACACTATACATATATACTACATACCTACTTAAATATATGTAATATATATATAATTTTTGTACTCTTAACTATGTGTACGTCTGTATGTACGTTATTGCTAGATTTTATGTAATTTTGCTTCAACATTTTCATCATAGGTATTTTTATGCGCGTCTATCACGCAACGTTGTTTTATCTACATAATTTCTTGGCGCTCGCCTTTTTTCGCAAAAAATCGAAACCGTTTTTCTGCTTACTTACACACAGCTAAATGCATACAGAAATCCAAGGAAGTTTGCTTGAAATTTAATTAAAAACGAATGCATACACATACATACATGCATTCATACATACAAATATATATATATATAAATAATAATGCAGTTATTCTTACGTTTATACCACTTAGGAAAATATGTACATAT